TCTCTCTCTGTCAAATAAATAAATAAAATCTTCGAAAAGAAAAGAAAAAGACCTCTTAACGAGAATGCTGACACGCATCCATTATAACCGAGTACCAGCCAAAACAGCTTCTTTTAGGTCATTGTCACTGTCGGACTGGTACAAAAGGTGCTTTTTTTTTTTTTCCTCATGAAGTAGATTGGGACCTTTTCTTCCACTTCTCCTTCTAGATATACCCTCAATGTTCTGGAAGACCTCGGAGATGGGCAGAAAGCTAATGATGACATCATTGTCAGCTGGGTGAACAGAACATTGAGTGAAGCTGGAAAATCAACTTCCATTCAGAGTTTTAAGGTAAGACTTGCGCACATTTGATGATTAAACGTCATGTGTGCCAGAAAGGATCAATAATTTAGAAGGCCAGGCTTTGGTTGGTTTGTCAGTGATTTAATGTTGTGCTACTGGCAAGATTCTCTTCAGCCACTGGGCTTGGTGTGTGGCAACTTGAGACAAGTAATCACATGTTAATTTGTACAAACCTGAAACTCTTGGATTTATTGTCCTTTGACACTAGGACAAGACGATCAGCTCCAGTTTGGCAGTTGTGGATTTAATTGACGCCATCCAGCCGGGCTGCATAAACTATGACCTTGTTAAGAGTGGCAATCTGACAGAAGACGACAAGCACAATAATGCCAAGTAAGAGACACTGATGATAATGATGATTAATACCCACTCTGCGTTCTCGCTCAGGTTCGGCCACTTTACGGATGGTGTCACCTAAGGGGCGCCTAGGGTGCTCAGTCGGTTAAGCATCTGCCTTCGGCTCAGGTCATGAGCTTGATCCCAGGGTCCTGGGATCGAGCCCCGTGTCGGGCTCCCTGCTCAGCGGGGAGTCTGCTTCTCCCTCTGGCTCGTGCTCTCTCTCGTTCACTCTCCACTTGGAGCCTCAGACTCCTCATCAGTACATATGGGAGCAATAATACTTACCTTAGAGATTTTGAAATGAATAGGCACTCAGTCAGTCGTTGCTTCAGGGAATTACCGAAATAATATAGTTTATGTACATCTTACTACAAGGAGAAAATGGGCTAAGAATATTCATGCCGTAGATAAGAATATTCTTCTGTCTCACTCTTTTTTGAAACGCGTTACTTATGGATGTCTTTTTTCACTATGCACAGATCGCCTTTACTACATATGTTGAGTTTATTATCTTGGTCCCTAAATGAGCAGGATGCTTAAGCCTCCACTGAAACTATGCCTTGAAAGTTTTTTGTGGGGTGGCGGGTGGCTCAGTTGGTGAAGTGTCTGCCTTTGGCTGAGGTCATGAACCCGGCGTCTTGGGATGGAGTCCCGAGTTGGGCTTCCTGCTCAGCGGGGAGTCTGCTTCTCCCTCTGCTCCTCTCCCTGCTTGTGCTCTCTCTCTAAGATAAATAAATAAAATCTTTTTAAAAAAAGAAAGTTTTATGCATTTCAGCAATATTGAGAAGGGCTTTTCCACCTGTCACTTCCCTTCTTCCCCAAAGACCTAGACTGTGACCTGGTTTTGCAGGCAACCCATGAAAGCTTGACTAGCATACACTGGAAATCAGCCCACTGAAAACCTTCCTTTTTCAGAAACGATCGTCTTTAAAGATTTGTGTTACAAAACCCCTAGAAATGTCTCCTGTATTAAGTGAAGGGCGCTCCAGCAGATTTCCCTAGCTGGACACATCAGTTCTTTCTTCCCTTACTTTGTGTACCCTTTCCATTCCTTGCTCTGACCACTCTGTCCCCACATCTTGTAGACTCTACCCACCCCACCCCCGCCCTGACTGTATGGAAGAATTCATTGCATCTCCCAAAGCAGCTTGGATTTGAATATATGACATAGACTTCCGTCCCCTATCTCTAGGATCACACGAGAGCATCTGTTAACCCGTCAACATGCTCAATGAAAATATCAACATCGATCATACAGCCGATCTGGATAATTATATATATATTTTTCTCATCTTCGGTATCATGTCAGTGCTCCAAAATTAATTCTCATTGCAGAAAAGGGGTGAATAAAATCAGTCCCAAGCAGTAGGGCTGAAAAATCGGATGTCACTTAAGACTGACCTCAAAAACAAAACAGAAAACAACAAAAAGTAAAATCGTGCCGCTCTGAAATTTCAATATGAACGTTTCACATCCCAGCCAAATGACTTTACAAGAGGAAACAGATGTCTCCTATCATGTCCTTGACTAACAAGAGGTTCATCTTGATTTTTGTTTCCTCCACCAATAGGTACGCCGTGTCAATGGCTAGAAGAATCGGAGCCAGGGTGTATGCTCTCCCCGAAGACCTTGTGGAAGTAAAGCCCAAGATGGTCATGACCGTGTTTGCGTGCTTGATGGGCAGGGGGATGAAGAGGGTGTAAAATAACCAATTCGAATAAAAACAACCTTGCTCCCAGGTGCATGATTAGCAGGTCAACTCTTTCCAGGGGAAGTGCTCATGGCTTAAGGAGCTGATGGTCATTGAAAGGACTCAGAGTTTTGATGAACAAGACTCCTCATCTTGAGAGCTCACAGGGGAAAGAGTTTTAATGGCAACAACTCCTCTTTCCCGTAGTCAAAGTTGGATTTGTCAGGCACCCCTGAAATGCGCTCACGGCCAAATCATTTACTCTCTCTCCTCCTAGATGGCTGCCCCTGACATTTCCCATTGCTGTATGTCGTCTCTGTGTATCTTTGCCCCCCCCTTAGAATGTCCACCTCTTGGGACTTGCTTAGATGATCGGATATGAATATTGTTAGACCATAATTTTGTGTTTCCATCCAGGATGCTAGTTCTTACTCGAGAACTGGGCTCAGAGGGTATCTGGATAGGAGTATCCTTTGCTTATCTTTGTAGTACTGAACATTGGCAGAAGTAACTGGCTGTGCAGAATGTAATAGAAGCTTTTCGTATTCTTTTATTCTTAAAATCAGTATCTTTTTACAGTATTCTTTCTACGTGATCTTTTTTGTACATTTAAGAATATTTTGATTACATTAAATGAGACTGCTGATTTTGCTACTTTTTTTAAGGGGTCTTCAAGTAAGTAAAAACCATACATTGTAGGTAGAGGAAAGGTGTCCCTTGATTTTGCATCCACCCTCTCACACCCAAGTTGTAAACAGCTGACATATTTTGTCTTCAAACACTTGGTTCCATATATGCTTATTTGTTTTAAAAGCCTGTATCATCAAACTCTCTCTTTAGATTTAAAATGCTGTTGAATATGACACTTTTGAGGAGAGAGTGCGCTCAGAATGCAGACAGGAGACGGTAGGTCAAGCATGCTAAGCGTACCATAAATTTTCTAATTTTCCACCTAAAACAAGGAGACGTGGTCACTAAAAAATAAAAATATATATGTAGGACGTAATGTACTCTTGCTTTGTCAAGCTGTTTGCTATAGTTTCCAAGATCATAATGTTACTCTAACTCTGAAAAGTGATGTAATCTGGTAGCAATGTATTAGTTCAAATAAAGGCATTTACATAATAATCAGTCTCCTCATGTTTCCGCCCCTTCGTGGTTTGCCAGTCAAGTTTGCCAGATTTTTCCCCCCCAATATTCTCTTTTTCTGGTGTACTGTACAAAATGACGTCTGTTCAATTTAAGCTCGTGGAGCTGAATTACAGGGTCTGAATGAAGAGGAGTCCCAGTGGGGTCAGAGGGTTTTCTCCAACTTACCATGATGGGGGGGATCCGGATAACCAGTGAGGGGAGATGGTTTCTGGCAGGCTTTCTTACCCTTCTCGCCCTCAACATTTGGGGGGCCGGCTAACTCTTGCTGGAGCGGGGAGGGGCTGTCCTGTGCATTGCAGGAGGTTTCACTGGCCTCCCTGGCCTCTACCCCTGAGAGGTCAGTAGCTCAGCCCCGGTGTGTAGAACAAATATGTCTCCAGACAACATGGCCAGAGGTCCCGTGCGAGGCAAAATCATCCCCAGTTGACCACCAGTGGTTCATGGTAGCATTTTAAGGCTTTGTCTGAGTGAGTAATACATAATCCGATCCTTTGACAAACTGCATGGTTATGGTGTAAATAACTGTATTTATAGCTTGAGTAAGAAAGATTTTTCTGAGTATGATACAAACCCCAAAGACCTAAAATAGAAGAATAAGAAATTTGACAGTTCTGCTTTGGCAAAAAAAAAACCAAACCCACAATTATATAAATCAATACAATAAGCAAAGTCAAAGTATAGATGGGCGGGGGGGGGGCGGTTAGTTCCATTGCCTTAGTCCATTTGGGCCGCTATAACAAAATACAGACTAGGTAGCCTATAAACAACACATTTTTTTTTTTTCACAGTTGTGCAATCTAGGAAGTCCAAGATCAAGGTGACAGATTGGCGGTGTGGTGAGGGCCTGCTTCCTGGTTCATAGAAGGCCATCTTCTAGCTATAACCTCACATGGAGGTAGGCGCAAGCGAGCTCTCTGGGGTCTCAGATGAGGGCACGAATCCCATTCACAAGGGCTCCAGTCTCATGACTTAAGGCCCCACCTCCTAATACCATCACATGAGAGATTAGACTGGGGGGAGACACAAACATTTGGTCTATAGTACCCATATGATAGGTTAATTTTCTTAATATAAAAACAGCTTTAATGAATAAATAAAAGGCAAGTCTTCTGCAAACATATACCAGAGTAACCGGTAAGGACAATCCCGTCTTAAGACCTGTCTTCTGCTAAAGAAAAAATTCCGTTAGGAAAATGGGCAGGGGGGCCTGGCTGGCTCAGTCAGTGGAGCCTGCGACTCTTGATCTCAGGGGTTCTGAGTTCGAGCCGCATGTTGGGTGTCAAGATTACTGAAAAATAAAATCTTAGAAAGAAAGAAAAACGGGCAAAGGAGTTGATTACTCAATTCAAAAAATTATAATTGGCCAATGAACATAAAAAGGGAATGCTGATTCTCAGAAGTAAGGAGGGTTATGCCACTGAAACCAAGAACTGCTTTTTTTTTTTTTTTTAGTAGACTATTTAGAGCAGCTTTAGGTTCAAAGCAAAATTAAGTGAAAGATACAGCGAGTTCTCAGGGACCACCCGCTGCCAACACACATGCATAGCCTCTCTGATTATCAGTGCTTCCCCTGGAGTGCTGCATTTGTTAAAACTGATGAACCTACGGGTGCCTGGGTGGCTCCGTCGGTTAAGCTGCCTTCAGCTCAGGTCATGATCCCCGGGTCCTGGGATTGAGTCCTGCATCGGGCTCCCTGCTTAGAGGGGAGTCTGCTTCTCCCTCTGCCTCTGCCCCTTCCTCCTGCTCCTACTCTCTCTCTGGCTCTCAAATAAATAAATAAATAATTCTTAAAAAATTGATGAACCTACATTGACACATCATAATCACCCAAAGTTCATAGTTGGCATTAGGGTTCCCTCTTGGTGGTGTACATTCTGTGGGTTTTGACAAATGTATAATGACCTGTCCACCATTACAGTATCCTAGAGAATAGTTTCACTGCCCTAAAAATCCTCTGTGCTCTGCCTATTCAGTCCTCCCCATCCACTAACCCCTGGGAACCACTGATCTTTTCCCTGTCTCCTTAGTTTTGCCTTTTGCAGATATCCTATTTTTAGAACCATACAGTATGTAGCCTTTTCAGATTGGTTCTTTCACTTCGTAATACACATTTAAGAGAACTGCCTTCTTTATGAACTGCCTTAAATTGATTTAAAAAAAAAGTGATTAAAATGATTGATAAATTTTCTGTTGATGGAGGTATGTGAATACGGGCATTCTCCAACACCCAGATGGAAGAATGACCAGTCTACAGTTTGTTGAAGGCAATGTGGTAATTACAGTCAAACTGAAAACTGTCCTATCCTTTCACCATCAGTTTGTTTTCTATAGTTAAGAGTCTGTTTCTTGTTTTGTCTCTTTTTCTTTGTTGGTTTGTTTCTTAAATTCCACACAGGAGTGGAATTGTATGGTATATTACATATATAATGTCAGGAGAGTTAAAATTTGGAAATATACTATTACCATAATCAGGCAAATAACAGATAACACTTTTTAACCTCCAGAGAAGTTGAGTACTACAGTGAACACCTATATATTCTTCACCTACACTCACCAATTGTTAACATTTTGACATATTTGTTTTCTTTGTGTGTTTGTGTGTGTGTGTGTTTTTCCTTTGTGTGTGTCTTGCTGAACCATTTGAAAGTAAGTTGCAGACCTCGTGATGTTTTACTCCTAAATACTTAAGCATAAATCATCTGAGAACAAGGATATTCTCCCACATAATTACAATAACATTGTCATATCTCCAAAATGTAACATAGAGGGGTGCCTGGGTGGCTCAGTCAGTTAAGCATCTGCCTTCAGTTCAGGTCATGATCCCAGAGTCCTGGTATCGAGCCCCACATTGGGCTCCCTGCTCAGTGGGGAGACGGCTTCTCCCTCTCCTGCTCCCCCTGCTTGTGCTCTCTCTGTCAAATAAATTAATAAAATCTTAAAACAACAACAACAACAAAATGTAACATAGATATCACACCTAATAGAGTCTACATTCAAATTTTCCAAATTATACCAAAAATATGTTTAAGGATGTTCTTAATAAAAATGCACACATTGTATTTGATTGTCAAGTCTCTGTTCTGCAAGATTTAAGATACTGGAACAATCTTGCATTTTCTTGTCTTTTGTGCCTTTGATATTTGTTAACAGTTCAGACCCATTTTGTTGTAGAATGCCCCATACTCTGGATTTGTCTGATAGTAAAAAGAAAAAAAAAATGTTCTTGACAATTAATAAGGCAAAATAATATTTCAAAACCTGGTATAAATGAGCACCTGGTATGAGTTTGTGGGGTTTGATAAATAGGTACAGTTGAAAAGATAACATGGCTTTTTTCAGGGCTGAATTGTTTTACATTTTTATTTTGAAACGATTATAGGTTAATAGGAAGTATTTAAAAATGAACAAAAGGTCTCATAGACCCTTTATCAAGTTTCACCCAATAATAATATATAGCTACAGTACAAATATCAAGAACCAGGTGGGCAAAATGGGTGAAGGGGGTCAAGAAGTACAAACTTCCAGTTTTAAAATAAGTCATGGGGATGTAACATACAGCATGGTGACAATAGTTAAAAATAGTGTATAGCATATTTGAAAGTTGCTCAGACAGTAAATCTTCAAAGTTCTCATCACAAGAAAAACTTTGTAATTGTATGTGGTGATGGTTGTTAACTAGACATTGTGGTGATCATTTCACAATACATGCAAATATTACATCATGACATTGTGTACCTGCAAATAATATAATGTTGTCAGATCTCAAAAAAACAAACAAAACAAAAAGCCCCAGGAGCTAGAGAGGAGTAAACAGTGAAAACTGTGGGGGGAAGATAACAAGAAAATGTAAGAAATTGACATCGGTGTAATCCAGAGCTTATTCATATTCCACCAGTTTTACGCGCATTCATTTGTGTGTGTGTGCGCGCGTGTGTGCGTGTATGCGCGTGTGTGCGCGTGTGTGCGTGTGTGTGTGCCATTGTATCATGTGTAGATTCATGGAACAACCAGCACAGTCAATGCTCCCTAGTGCTACCCCTTTAAAGCCACAACTACTACCCTTCATCCTTAACCCCGGGTCTATTTGTAAGTTCTCTATGATGTTTTATCAATCTGTGTGTCTATCCCTCTGCCAATACCACACTGTCTTTATTAATGTAGCTACATAATAAGCCTTAACATCAGGTCAAGTGATTCTTCCCAGTTTATTTTTCTTTTTCGAAATTGTTTTAGCTATCCTAGATCCTTTGCTCTTCCATATACATTTTAGAATAAGCTTCTGTATGTCTACAAAAAATTTTTTGCTGGAATTTTGATAGGAATTGTGTGAGATCTATAGATCAATTTGGGGAGAAATTTGACATCCTTACTAGGTTAACTCTTCCAATCCTTGAGAGCATGGTATATCTCTCCATTTATTTAGGTCTTTGATTTCTTTAATCAGCACTTTAAAAAGTTTAAGTATACAAAGTCCATACTTTTTTTTAAGTTTATACCTAAGTATTTCCTTTTATTTGGAGTGAGGTTTTGTGTAAATTTTTGGGGACTTGCTACAATCGTGTATGTAATCTGCAAATAGGAAATGTTTCCTTCCAATATGAAAATTTATTAAGAGGGTAGATCTCAGGTTAAATGTTCTTACCACAATAAAGTCGATTTTTTAAAAAGACAAAAACAGTCATTGCTTATTTAATGGGAAGTGGTCATCTGTCCTTTATATACCTGTATATACCTTCCTAGGAACACTGCATGGGAAGGTATATTTAAAGGACCAACAAGATGGAGACGACAACCACTTCCTGGAAAACATAGTATTTGTGAAAGATTTTTTGTATAAAACCATTCAACACCAGCTGGAGGAATGCAGCGACTCAGGAAGAATTTTTCAGATTTTTTTTTTAAGATTTATTTATTTTGAGAGGGGGAGAGCCTGCCTGTGACCACAAGAGCAGGGCAGGCAGGGGGTGGGGAGCAGA